CTACGCGCGCGCTATTCAGCATTTGACATTATTAAAAAAAATATATACATAAGTAAAAATGAATAATCACTTATATTAAAAATAAATGATTACAGTGAATAGCATGTGATGTAAAAAAATATATATATATGATGATGATGATGATGATTTTACATCACATGCTATTCACTGTAATCATTTATTTTTAATATAAGTGATTATTCATTTTTACTTATGTATATATTTTTTTTAATAATGTCAAATGCTGAATAGCGCGCGCGTAGCGCGCGCCTGTATTGTTCTAGTCTGTTGAAAAAATTGGATAAACCCAATATTTTCCGCACTTTATTTTTATTTTTAGATTTATTTTATAAATATAGAGCTCTAATCAGTTTCTTTAATTTAATCTCTGCTATAAGATCAAGTGTTTCTGACGATATTCTTTTACGGAAAGCAATAATGAACAGTGGTAACTGATCAGAATCCATTTTTTAGAAACTACAATGTGAAAAAGCACGAGAGAAACTGCAATTTTCAGAAACTGTATGTACAATAAACGTATGTTATATACATAAATGAACGTGCGTGTCAAACGCAAAACTCACTTCTTATGTCCCATATGAAGCGTATTATAAACTCGCGTAACCAATAAGCTGCCATCTTTGGTATTTCTATTGATACAGTCTAAAAGAATATAAAGATATGATTAGTTATCGTGTACGACACCCAACTTTCGTACGTACACCCACGGTAATTAATTCTGTCCCTCGGAAATTTTCACAAAATGAAAAGTGACCTCCTTTCTGTATTAATTATCACTATTCATGCACGATAAGGTTCAGTCCAGGAAGTAAGATATAAGGAGACTCCACTCCGTAAAATAAAAGTGGACCCATTTTAGGTTTCGAGTTCAGCTTCCGATTCTGATGAGTGCGAGTAAGAGAAATGATCATTTCTCTTACTCGCACTCATTATGCGCAGCACTACTAAATTCACGAGCGCTGCGAGTGTCGAGAATCGGAAACGGAACTCGAAACCTAAAATGGGTTCATGTCTTGTAGACTGGCGAGACCGAGTGGACTCTCCTTATATCTTCCTTCATGGTTCAGTCGTAACGTTAATCGTGCATAGATGGTGACAATTAATATAGAAAGGTGGTCATTTTTTATTTTGTGAAAATTTCCGTGGGACAGAATTAATTACCGTGGGTGTACCATGGAACATATGGAAATTAAATTTCGCGTAACGAAAAACGCGTAATAAAGGCGTAACGACTCGAAAAACGCGTACTGGTCCCTGATTGGTTACGCGATACGCGTTATGCCTAATTCATACTGGATGCGATGGGCGATGAACGATGAGCGATGTCCAATAAAAGCTTTGCTTTAGTTCACACGACGATGTAAAGCAGAGTTCTTATTGGTTATCGCTCGTCGCGCATCGCTCATCGCGCCTAGTGTGAACTAGGCATTACGCGGAAAATTTGTGCCATGAGACGGCACCTTTAGGGTGCAGTCCCATGGAGCGTATCGCGCGTATCGCGGATTAGCGGATCACCAATCACAGAATCGTTCTGTTAAATCTGTTTACAAATTTTGCAAGCAAATAGACGTAACTACGCATCTCCATGCTCAAGGCAGAGTGAGTAGAACAAACACACCTACCCTCTCCACGATAAATCATAATTGCAAGTATTACGATTTGCTCAATGAATACTTGGATATTACAAGATCCGGCCGGCGCAAAGAAAATACACACGACGTTCAGCATTATATTACAACTAAAGGCGCTCCCGTAACAGAACGCGCGCGACGTTTGCCTCCAGATAAATATCGTTCCGCAAAAGCCGAATTTGAGTCAATGCTTCGTGAAGGCCTATGCCAGGAAGTAAGATATAAGGAGACTCCACTCCGTAAAATAAAAGTGGACCCATTTTAGGTTTCGAGTTCAGCTTCCGATTCTGATGAGTGCGAGTAAGAGAAATGATCATTTCTCTTACTCGCACTCATTATGCGCAGCACTACTAAATTCACGAGCGCTGCGAGTGTCGAGAATCGGAAACGGAACTCGAAACCTAAAATGGGTTCATGTCTTGTAGACTGGCGAGACCGAGTGGAGTCTCCTTATATCTTCCTTCATGGCCTATGCAAACCATCTTCTAGTCAATGGGCATCGCCTAGAGATCCTATATGGAGAGATGGGCCAATGCCGACTGATTCGTGATTGGCTCTGCCATGATGTTGTGAAACCGGATGTGAGAGTGAAAGAAGCGAATGTGAGAGTGAGAGGAGCGTTGTCTGCTTATGATTATAAGT